GGTAGCCAGCCAGCCTGCCTGGATCACATGCAGGACAGACGGGCCTTCTCGCTCAAAGCCCACCAGTCTGAAGGCTACCTACCCATTGGTATGTCCTGGGAATTTCAGGTGGTGGGGCGGGTGGGACCTTGATTTCCTTTGCGTTATCACCTTGCTCCGTTTAGTCACCTAATCTGAAAGGGACATAAAGCTCGGTGCCTAAGCCCGAGGGGAAGCAGTTTGAAGCACTGTCTCTGGCTGAGAAACGCTGAGCTGGACACTGTGTATGTGCTCGCTGTGAGCCTCATCGCAAGCCTTCAAGGTGGGCCTAATTACCCCCATCTCACCGAGGAAACCAGTCACAGAAAGGTTCAATACTCATAACTTGTCCAGAGTCACCCAGCTGGAAGCAGCTGAGCCAGCGTTTGAACCCAGATTTTCTTGCTTTTTCAATTTTAGTCTTCTACTTCTTTTTTAAAGGACAGCGTGTACACGTTGCATGAGAGAAAGAAGTGCCCTCAGCAGGGTCTTGTCATGCCGCAGTCTCCTTTCCCCAGCCCTCCAGCTCCTCAGGATTCCGGGCACCTGCACACATGCCCATTGCACTTTCGAGCCGGCATGGGGATCTAAACCCACAGTCAGCCTATGGCTTCCAGCCTCGCAGAGCACTGGGTCTGAACCTAAGGCTTCTTGGTCCCAGGCCCATTCAGTAACTGGTGGTCTTCATGACAGATGAGTCCCTCCCTGGACAAAGGGTGAGTGGGTCAACCCTGGGGTTCTTGGCAGAAGAGCTGTCCAGAAAGACCCCCTTCCTTCCTTTCCATTCTCCTTTCCCAGATAGAGAATAATAGGTATGGCATGTGGGGACACCTGGTAAACAATTACATTAGAAGGACCAGGGTTTGTTTTCTATTTTTTTTATATAATCACTGATCTTCCTTAGGATCACAAAGGGTTTTCCTATCATCCCTTTGTAAACTACTTCTTTGTGGGTTATCTCCGTGTGTTTTTCCCCTTTCTCTGTCCTGCTAGCTTTCCTTTTCCAGCTATCTGCGCGTCACCTGGCTTTGAGAGTAACTCCAGGTCTTTTGTGCAATGTGGCAGGAGATTTCTGGTCCTTAGGGCAAGATTACATTGTCCACTGCCCTCCAGGCTTAATGTCTCTTCTGCTCCAACCAGACGAACCTCATGTGACCCTGAAGTGATGTTTAGGCCTAGCTGTCTGCAGTCTCTGGGATTGAGAATGCTCCCTAGAAATGTGGGGTGTGGCCACTGAGCCCCTGCAGCATTCTAGACTATTCTGGATTGGGCGTAAGGCAGTCACATGGGGTTCTTGGAAGAATGAGTATGGAAACCCAAGGGCACAGGGAGAGGGCTGGAAAGCGGTCATCCTGGCTTTGTTTTCTCTGTTCGCCACACAGTTGTGCATTCTCTGACCTTCTTTTATCCTCCACAGGCTGTAAACTGCCCCCCCAGGCCCCGGGTGTGGACACGAACCCCTGCCCAAACTCACCCGTGTTCAGGACAGGCAGCGAACCCACACTGAGCCCAGCGATGGTTCGGAGGGTCTCCTTGGACACTAGGGCAGGGGAGGCTCTGAGGGGCTCAGACAGCCAGCTGTGCCCCAAGCCACCCCCCAAGCCCTGCAAGGTGCCCTTCCTCAAGACTCCCCCGTCTCCATCCACCTGGCTCAACTCGGAGGCCAACTACTGTGAACTGAACCCCGCCTTTGCCCCAGGCTGTAACAGGGGGGCCAGGCTGCCCCTGTGTGCCCAGGGAAGCTCCACAGAGCGGCTGACAGCCCGGCAGAATGGGGTGCCAGGTCCCCGGAACTCTGGAATCAACTATTCGATCCTTGATGGCGATGACGAGGCGGCACCTTGGGAACCGCCGACAGCACAGATGGACAAGGGGCCGGAGGACCAGGGCGCATTTGTGAAGCCCCTCATGGAGACTGAGTCCTCCTTCCGGCCCAATGACTTCGAGTCCAAGCTCCTTCCGCCAGAGAACAAGCCCCTGGAAACGGCGATGTTGAAACGTGCCAAAGAACTGTTCACCAGCAGCGACCCCAAGGCAATCGCCCAGCACATGCTCAGCATGGACTGCAAGGTAGGCACCCAGCCGGGCGCTCCCAGAGGGTTAGACGGCAGGCGAGTCGGCCCACTCCACCTTGCCCTTGAAGTGCTCTGGTCACAGCAAAAGTCTGAAGGTAACATGGGCGTGGACATTTATTTAAGGGGTGGGAGCCACAAGTCAGGACAACCTGTGTGTGCCCAGACAGGAAGCTTGTAAAATCAGCCTTGGATGGAGGCCTGGCAGCAGTGTGGCAGCCACCCCCTCCCCACCCACCCGCTGGGTTAAGAGCTGCAGAATGTCCTCCACCCACCTGCTGCCTCTTCCTAATCCCCGGGCCTCAGCTCCATCGGAACTGATAAACCAAGGCCGGGGGAGAGGATATTGCAGATGAACATGCAGGCTCTCGAGTAGCAAAGACTTGGCTATTTTTATTTCATTATAAGTTATATTTATACCCATTACATGTTTATTTTGTTACACACGTGCTTTATAGTAAAAATACACATTTTTAGAGTCACCTTGATTTTTTTATTTTTACAATACTTGTTGGATTTAGGAAAATGATAAAATACAGAATACAGAAGATAAAATTACACCTAATTCAGTTTCTCGGTGTTTGGTGTATGTAGGAATGTCGCGCTGTGACCTGCCGTGCAGACAGGTGGGTGTAACGCGTGACGTGCATAGTGTTGGTGTAGCACAGAAGTGGCCCTGGTCTGTACCTCCTATCCCGAACCCTGAGTCTTCCAGGGAATAGCTGCCCTGAATCGTCTCTCTGTGTGACTAAACAGATACGGTTACATCATCATCATTTTTTAATTATTTATTTTATTTTATCTGTTTATTATTATTATCACTTTAACTTTCCAAAGGGCACATGCACTCACCAGAGAGAGAGAAAGTGAGAAAGCAAGCCACCAGGTCCAGGATTTGAACCACAGTTGACCATGTAGGAGTCTAGCGCCTTAACTACCGCACCGCCTGCTGGCCTCTCATCATCGTTTTTTGATAGCAAGATAGCAAGCATTTCTTTTCTATGCAGGTGGCTTTCGTTTATAGAGGCCCCAAGGCAACCTCATCATTCAGAGAGACATTTTGAGACAACAGGTGTCTCAGACTGTGTAGGCCAAGCCCACACCCTCAGTATAGAGAGATGAATCTCTGGGCATCGGAGCCACAGATGGCCTCGGCAGGTTTAAAGTCCCTTTTCATGGAAGGCCTGTTTTCATTGGATGCCCAGTGAGTCAATTCGCTGCAAAGGTCAGGGCTTGTTTAGGAACTGGGTTTTCCCTCTCAAGTCAGCAGTCATGGCAGGAAATCCAGGGAGTTACCCCAGTCAGGCCTGAGGGCTAGACAGCTGCTGGCTGACCTGGGCATAAATAAGTCCCTTCCTGAAAACAGGGCTTGAGGGTGGCCTTGGTGGCCAGAGCACCTCATTGCCCAGGCTGGGAGTTGGTCTGGGAGTGCGGTCCCACTTCCCCTTGCATGCCTGTTCCGGCGATGGGCTACATGACCTTGACCTGTGCTGTTTGATAATTTGCTGCGTGAAATCTTGACCTCCCTTCAAAACAAGCTAAACCTGTTTGGGAGGTCGGAAGACTGAGGACTGATGTCCCAGGAAATGGGTCCCACTGGGCCCTCGGTCTGAGGTCTGAGAGTGGAAGTCGGCCGTGCCAGTGAGGAGGACTGCATCTAGCCTGACGTGAACCTGCCTGGGCTCCCTGTGGACGGAGCTCCCCGAGAGCAGCCACTTCCCCGGGGCGTGAATCCTGGTGCCTGCGTCCTGGACAGGGCTGAGGGTAGTGCAGGAAAAGCCTTTGCTCTTGGCGGGGGCCTGGAACCTTCCCATCGCCTGGACCCCATAAAACCAGAGCCTGACTCTCCTCTCTACTAAGGACCCAGCAGTCACCCTCTTCCTCACTCTGGTGCATTTTGTCCTGGAGGGGCCTCCCCGGTCTGCCTCGGGCACCACTGGAAGAGAAGCTGGATGGAGTCCCCAGGCGGAGAAACAGAGACCAGAGCGGGGCCGGTGGCGAGGGCAGGACTGTGTTTAGTCTTCCTTGCCGCCTTCGCCGTGGCCCACCACCATTTCCTTATTCTCTTCCTGGAACCACTAAGAAGCGGCATAAGCAGCTACGAGGAAACTAAACAAGATCTGTTGATCTTGACCCCAAATGCAGCGGCAGCCCAGCCATGGCTGAGAGCGGGCTCTGGGAAGCCTCTGGGCCCCACACCAGTTCCCACCTATGCAGAGCCAGGAGAAAGACACCCAGAAAGGCCGCTGGGACAGTGGTGGGGTGGGAGCCCTCAGGCCGCTGCGCAGCCCAGAGCCTCCCACAGCAGACAGGCACTGCTTCTCCCCGCTCATCCCATGTCGGGGTACAGCCATTCTCCCGTCCCTGTCTTTGCTGCCTCCGGAAATGAGGCCAGGAGCTAAGAGCCGTGACCTCTGAGGTGAACTCCCCAGGTCTTGCCCTAGCCTGTGCAGCCTCTTTTCTCCCCATCCGTAAGACAGACTACCCAGATCAGTGAGCACCGGGTGACCCAACATGCCTAAAGCCACGGGTTCCTTGTCTGCCTGAGTGAGCGCTGTTTATTAGGGTTACGCTTCCAGCCTTGACCACGCCTGCAGCATGCCAGGCCAGCTCATGCTCTCTGCCCCGGAGGAGCCTGCTTTCCAGAGGGCCCAGGCCTGGGAGGGACAGCGATACAGGTAGCTAGCACAACCCAGGTGGGAAATGTCGTGTGGGGAAGACACAGGAGCGGTGAGGCGTCTGGGCAGGACTCGAACAGGGGCGGTGAGGAGAGATCCAGGTGGGGATCCTGAGATGAGTGTGGAGGGCTGAAGACTTGGCCAGATGAAGAACACAAAAAGCATGCGGCACACAGCATGTAACACACACGCAGAGACTCGCATGTCAAAAGCCCGGAGAGAAGAGCTGGTTTACAGTGGTTTATGCTGTGTCTTTATAGAGGGTCGGGGTCCTTCCTTCAGTGTCTTTTCTAAGTCTCTACTTTTGGGGCCCCGGCTAGTTTCCTGCCTTCACAGTCGAGTGAGGGACCGATACCCCCGTGCAGCACGGAGCCAGGCACTCTGCTTGCATTTTAGAAGGTCCCATGGCAGCTGGGAGGAGGGCCAGGACCAGCAGGGCTTCCCCGGGCCCCGGAGCAGCTCCAAGGTAGTGACAAGGACAGAATGGGCAGAGCCAGCAGAGTTCAGGAGCTGGGACTTGGAGAGCAGAGGGCCTGCCCTGCTGGGCCCAGCTCAGAGTACAGCTCTCTATGTCTGACGCTACATCTGCGAACCACGTGGCAGTTGTCATTTCCCAGGGACCTACCCTAGGCCCTGCAGTGGAGCTCAAGATCCTTTGTCCTATAGCCTACCCCAAGCGCAAGCAGGTGTGGCATATTTATGCTGAAGAAAACCAGACTGGAGGCTTTTCACTTGCAGAGCAAGGACTGCCACATGCCTGCTGGTATTTCCAGGACAAGCTCCATCAATGATGAGCCTTTTTTTTTTTCTCTTTTTCTTTTTTTCTTTTTTTTTTTTTTAATTTGCTTGCCAGAAAGACAAAGAAAGAGGGAAAGCGAGAAAGCATCCTTTATGGTGAAGGATCACACCACAATCCCTTTACCTCCATTACATCTTTCAAGATTTGGGGCACACACACATTGGCACCTGGTATATTTTTTAGCCACTGGGTCTGGGACTTGAACTGAGCAGTTGGCCATGTGGGATCCAATGACCTTAACCACCACACCACTGGCTGGCCCAATGAGGAGCCTTTCAGTCTTGTTACACAGCGTATGCATGGATTGGAGGATGCCCCACACAGGGCTGGGGTTTAGAACCTCTGACAGGGCAGCTGACTAAACAAGTGAGGAGGCACACAGCTGCCCACCACTGGGTGTGCTTCTGGGCTGCCTCGCCAAGGTCAAGGTGTAAATTTCCTTCCTGAGATCCAGCCCTTCCCCACGGCCAACGAATCACAACGTATACTTTCAGCATGTTGGGGGCTTTAAGGGCATGTGGATCCTTTGCAAAGTCCTTGAGAAAGGTGAACTTAGCATTTGTGTTCCCAAAGGGGGAACTGAGGCCCATAGAGCCTGAGCAAGAGCACAGTGTGAATTCTGCTGTGCCAGGCCAGCAGAATTGAATCCTGCGTCCTTTTCTGGGGTCTATCCTAGAGAGCTGATTTCACCAGCTCCTTCCCCTGGGGCTGACAGTGGTTCCTTGGCTCAACCACAGAAGTTACGGGTCAGGGTTAATAATGTCAGCTAGACGACCAGATGTTTTTTGTGGCTCATCGTGAAGATGTCTGTGCTGCACATATGCCTAGGATAATTATGGTTGGGTCTACCAGATGGAGGAGAGGAATTATCCCGGGTCTGCCATGTGTCCAGGCTTGGTTAGCCCCGATAGGTCTGCCAGTTGCACTGTTAGTACGTGTGTGTGCTGTGAAGCGCCACGAGCCCCATTTTAGAGACAGTGACTCAGTTGTTAATATTCAGCGTAACACGTAATAACGATAAATGGTCATCTCATACCTCGTTCCGCTAAACCATGATTGTGTACTAGAATTGAGAGCTGGCTGGGACAAACAAGGATTTTCTTTAAGGAAACCCTCTCAGAAGAAGTGGGTGTGTTTTAAATCACTGTCCATGACTGTAATGGCTTCCAGACGTGTGGTGCCTTTACTGAGCCCAGGAGAGGCATAATTAGGGGTAATAGCAGTCAGCCATGGCTGTGAAGTGAGAACGTGACTGGCCAGGCCTGCAGCAGAGGGAGCTAGGACGAGATCCTGCTTCTCCACTGCAGGGGACCATGGCTCTGCACACACACAGCTCCGGTGTTGGCAGCAGAACACCAAAGCCGGATCCAGCCTGTGTCAGACAAAAGCTCAAAGAACGAAACCTCTCTAGCTGGGCAGAAACAATGAGCAAATCTGCAGATTCTGCAGACCGGTTTAGGGGTTTCCTCCAAGTCTTCCTATTCTTCCTCTTATATATTCTAATATGTGTACTAAAATGCCCCAACTGTTATGTAAGAACTGGATAGATGTTGCTGCTCACGAGGAAATGCCACCAGTAAGGTGTTCGCACACTGCCCCAGTTCAGTGTATTTTTACGTGCTAGACTCGTGTTCAGGCCGGGTGCACATTCCTAATCCAGTGCATTTCTTCTGGGTTCTTGACAGGTTGCTAGGATACTCGCAGTCTCCGAGGAGATGAGGAGGAACATGGGAGTGAGCTCGGGGCTGGAGCTCATTACCTTGCCTCATGGACACCAGCTGCGCCTGGACATCATTGAAAGGTGAGCAGTGCTGTCCTCGGCCTTCCGACCCTTTCAGCTCCCTGTAGGCATCGGAGCAGCGGGTCTCAGAGCTGAGAGAGAGCAGCCACCCTTGCCCCACAGTCGCCTGCTCCAGGGCACATGGCCCAGGTGACTCTTCCAAGAAGCCTGAGCCAGAGAATTCTTGGAGATGCACCAAGAGATAGTGCAGCCCAAGTCAGGAACAAAGAAGGGCTTATGTCTCTCCTCCTGGAGCGGGTGGGTAGGGAGAACAGGCCTGTCTTAGGTTGGTGGCTTGACTGGCCTATGTGAGAAGTCACCCTGCCAGTCTGGAACTGGAGTGGGGAGCTGCAGGCAGCCCTGGCACGGAGAGCTCCGGTCCCCTGTGGCCTTCAGCCCGCCTCGCTGACATGCCCTGCGCCTTAGCCTCTTTCAGGTTTCAAGTCACTCAAGGAGTTAGTGGGAGCTTGTGGGAAAGGTTGGGAAGAACCGATTTATTTGAGGGATGGACAAATGGGGGTCAGAGGTCAGGGGATGAGGGCGCCGCCCCCTTCTCAGGATAGCCCCCTGGGTGGCCATTACAACACACCCACATGAACAAGGGATGTTTATAAATAAGACATGGACAGTGCAGCATGTTTTGAAGAAAAGAAGTGCTTGGGGCTGGCAGGTGTTGTGATGATGAGGGTGCTGGACTCCCACATGGTGGACTGTAGTTCAAGCCCCAGACCTGGTGGCTTGCTTCCTCACTTTCTCTCTGTCTCTCTCTGGGCAAATTAATCAATTTTTAATTTTAAGTAAACTTAATTATTTAAGTAAACAATAATTTTTTTTAAGAAAAAAAGAAAAGCACTAGATTTTCAGCTGGCCTTTTAAACACAAAATAAAAAGTTTATTTGGGCAAGGTTCTCCTTTTTTCTGCTCTTGCAGCCATGAGTGCCCATGGCTTTCCATGCTGCTCCAGGTCACGGTGCTGTCTGGCACAACATTCTGTGACGGCAGGAATGTCTCATGTCAGCAGCCGTTCCGGCAGCCCCTAGCTGTCGGGCACCTGGAATGTCGCTAACGCAGCTGAGGAATAAACGTCTGTATGTCCTGCTTCCTAGTTAAGTGTAAACAGTCACGTGTGGCTAGGGGACAGTGCAGTCCTAGGGTTCGGCCCTCGAAAGCACGCATCACACTTCACGTTACTGTGGGGGGATGGCTACCCATGCAGCTGCTTTCGAGAGTCCTGGGCTATAAAGCAGGTAAAGTGACTCCCATGCCACTGTCGCATTGTCCTCATAACCCCAGCCCACAGAAAACACCCAGAATGCTGTCATCCTGCAGATAAAAGAAGGCTGAGGCAAAGCAGAAAGTTGTATTTAGGCCAGAGTTAGGATACCACAGAATAGCCCAGATACCACAGAATCTGAGCTTCCCCAAGGACTGTGCGCCCGCCCGTGTGGTACACATTTCAGGATCATTTCAAAGGCAACAAGGTCGCAAGTGGGAGGGGGCAGTCTCGTACTGTAGGGATTGGCTAAGTCCAGAGATAAGGGGAGCAGTTTGACTCATGCTCGCCTGGAGTCACTTTGCTTAATCTTAATCTAAACTGAGTGTGGAGACAGGAGTCCGGAAGGTATGGGAGGAATGCATCTGGGCACTCAGGGTGTTCATAAAACCAAAAGTCCCCTGAGTTAGGCAACATCTTGAGCTATTTCTGATGCATAGTCATAAAAAAGCTACAAGATACGCCCAAGTTTTATTTCCTTTTATTTCACAGAAACTCATCTGTTTAAATAGACTGGAACTCCTCTTTTCAGGAAAAAAGATGGTCTATTTGGGGGAATCTATCATCTTCCTTAAAGTTTCAGTTTGATGGGTGACAGTTTAGCAGGAGTGACTCCATTTTGGTCTGGTCTGTTGGGACCTAGAGCAGGAAACATGGCTTCCTACAGTTTGGCCTTCACAGTGCCGAACCGAAGCCTTGTGGGAGGAAGGAGGTAAGAAGTCGCTGTGCTGACTCCGTCCAGGTGCAACTGTTGAGGCCCCTGGGGACCGAGAGCTCTGACTTATGACATTAGAGCTTACTCCTCTTCCTGATGAGACCTTTCTAGATTCCAGCCTCTCTCTCCAGGTATCCCTTTTCTCCTCATGCCCCAGGGACCTGGCTGTTCTGTACCATTCGCTTCCCCCAGGTGGTCAGGGCCCGGTGTCGTCTCAGAGGTGGGCTGAACCCCGCACTTCCCTGCTTTGTGAGAGATGCATCTCCCTGCTGTGTGGGCCTTATTTCATCAGTGGCATTAGGTGTGCTGGGCCACGCGTCCTGAGCCCTCGCCCCGGCCAGCAGGGCTGGGGCTTCCCTCGGCTGTTTTCCAGCTTTCACTCTAGTCCGCACGTTGCTTGGCCTCCCGATCGCTGCTTGGCTGGGGTCTCCTCAGCCTATTTCCTGTCCAGGACTGACTTGTGGGATCTGCCCACTAGAGCCTGGGGATGGTTCTATTTACAATGTGCTTTCTAACCTGTTGGATCAGGTCACCTTCTTGCACTGGAGAATCAAATACAAAACCACTCCTTTTTTTTAATTTTTTTTTCTAAGTTTATGTATTTATTTCTTCCGAGAGAGACAGGTGAGCACCCCTAACAGGGTCTTCATGCCATAGCCCATCTCTCGCCTCAGGGTCACCGTGATCTCAGGACCCGCCCTGGGGACCTTCCCATGTGGGTGCCGCGGTGCAGGGTGCTGCTCACCACGTGCCGCTGTTGGGCCCTCCCCTTCATTCCTAGCTGACCACCTCACCCACACCAGGCATGCTAGCTGGAAGTGCCCTTCATGTAGCTTGAGTGCTTCCCGCTGCCAGCCTGGAGCTCGCGCCACGGACTTGCCACCCTGAGCTCTGTGCCCCAGAGCAGTGTACCAGGAGGTTTTAGGCAAATGTTTGAATTAATGGATATAATTCCCAGTTAACCCTTGATATAAAGAAGTAGAACCTGTCTTTTAATAAGGGCCATTGAGGGGCTAGCAGGTGGCGTAGTGATTAAGGCGCTGGACTCCCACATGGCTGACCGTGGTTCGAGTCCCAGACTCAATGACTTGAGACTCATTCCGGACGTATGTGAATACGTGCCCAAAATCCCAAGAGAAGGGGATGTGGCATGGCCATCTTCCTGGGAGGTGATTTCTGTTTCCCTCTCACTGTCTCCCTGTCTCTCTGGGAATCAGTGCCCTGTAGTAAAAATCTTTCAAAGAAAAATAAAATAAGGGCAATTAAAATAAGGGGAGGGGGGGCTACTGAATAAATTGCACATAGAATGAGAAGTTAGTTGATTATTAGTTAAAAAGAAACGTAAAGTGTTCTGCTCAGTGTTAGTAATATTTCCAATGGATAACAAAATGCTTTAAAAATATGCTTTAGATCTGTGTTTAGATCCATTCATTGACGAAGACAAGAGGACGAAATGGACATAAAGGGAATGAGAAGAACAGGCAGGATGAGCCCAGATAAAAGGGAGAGACAGAGATGGCTGCAGGAACACGGTTACTGATTAGTGCAGTGCCAGGCCCTGGAATTAGCTCTCGGGACAGCCAGTCTCCATGCCTCACAAGCCTGTTCCCACTCTACAGATGAGACAGGAGTGGAGCAGTGGGGTGACAGCCAAAGGTCCCGCTGTCGGTGAGCACCATGCACACACAGGTCACGCACACACTGGCGTGCACACACAGGAGACAGCCACGCTCATGGGCACGTTGCAACGCTGGAGAGACCCATGACGGCCCGCACTGGCACATCACTGTGGCCTGCTGCTGAATGAGGGAGACCAACACCCCTCAGCACAGAGCACGGCCCGGGAGTGACAGCCTGAGCTGTGACCTCTTAGGGACCTGTGGCCCTAGGACGTCAGAGCATGCCGTGTCTTAGTCACCGTGCTGTGAACTGGGCCTTTACTCCCACATGGCTGACCGTGGTTCGAGTCCCAGACTCAATGACTTGAGACTCATTCCGGACGTATGTGAATACGTGCCCAAAATCCCAAGAGAAGGGGATGTGGCATGGCCATCTTCCTGGGAGGTGATTTCTGTTTCCCTCTCACTGTCTCCCTGTCTCTCTGGGAATCAGTGCCCTGTAGTAAAAATCTTTCAAAGAAAAATAAAATAAGGGCAATTAAAATAAGGGGAGGGGGGGCTACTGAATAAATTGCACATAGAATGAGAAGTTAGTTGATTATTAGTTAAAAAGAAACGTAAAGTGTTCTGCTCAGTGTTAGTAATATTTCCAATGGATAACAAAATGCTTTAAAAATATGCTTTAGATCTGTGTTTAGATCCATTCATTGACGAAGACAAGAGGACGAAATGGACATAAAGGGAATGAGAAGAACAGGCAGGATGAGCCCAGATAAAAGGGAGAGACAGAGATGGCTGCAGGAACACGGTTACTGATTAGTGCAGTGCCAGGCCCTGGAATTAGCTCTCGGGACAGCCAGTCTCCATGCCTCACAAGCCTGTTCCCACTCTACAGATGAGACAGGAGTGGAGCAGTGGGGTGACAGCCAAAGGTCCCGCTGTCGGTGAGCACCATGCACACACAGGTCACGCACACACTGGCGTGCACACACAGGAGACAGCCACGCTCATGGGCACGTTGCAACGCTGGAGAGACCCATGACGGCCCGCACCGGCACATCACTGTGGCCTGCTGCTGAATGAGGGAGACCAACACCCCTCAGCACAGAGCACGGCCCGGGAGTGACAGCCTGAGCTGTGACCTCTTAGGGACCTGTGGCCCTAGGACGTCAGAGCATGCCGTGTCTTAGTCACCGTGCTGTGAACTGGGCCTTTACCTCCAGCACCTGTACCACGGCCGGGAAGAAATCTCAGCATGGCAGCCCTGGCCCAGGCAGAGAACGCGGGTCCTGAAAGGGGTCACGGTCGGTGCTTCCTGCCAACTGACCCCATCCTTCAGCCCATTGTTGTGTAGAGAAGAGGTCACCCCGCTTCCTGTCCTGGGTCTGGGGGGTTGGCCCGTGTAGTTCAGGATGAGAAAAGGGAGGATCGTTGGGGGAGATAAAATTTCTACTTTATTAGGGTGTGACCTTAGAGGCAGCTGAACTCCTGCCCGGCAGCTCTTCAGTCGATGTCTGCATCCCACTGACTTCCTGGCTCGTGGCTGGGCTGCACGACACCGTCCTCAGCTCTTCTTTCCTTCCTTTGTTCCGACACCCAGGTCGTCTTCCTAGGGCAAGCACGTCCTCTCGTTTCCTGTCCCTTCCCTTTCTTAGTCCGGGGGCTCGGTGGTTGTGTTCCCGAGAGTCCCTGAGGAATCACTCAGCGCTCTGCGGCCTTGCCTCTCTGCCGCAGTCAGCCTGCTCGGGCCGGTTTGTCTGTCGGGGTCGGTGTCCAGACCATCTCATTGCGAGCGTGTTTCAGAGCAGCAGCCGCACAAGGTGCAAAAGCAGCCCTGTTCCAGCTTCCTCCCAGTCTGGCTCTTGACCTGACCACTGCTCTTCGCCTCTCAGACACAACACGATGGCCATCGGCATTGCGGTGGACCTCCTGGGCTGCACGGGCACTTTGGAGGACCGAGCAGCCACCCTCAACAAGATCATCCAGGTGGCCGTGGAACTGAAGGAGTCCATGGGGGACCTCTACTCCTTCTCAGCCGTGATGAAAGCCCTGGAAATGCCGCAGGTAAGTTCTGCTCACTTGGTGCAGCCCCGGCCTGGGAGTACTTAGTGATCTACTGCAAGGCCCGCACACCCATGCGTAGCGGCTCACGCTCGGTATTCGTCAGTCTCTAAAGGTACATGGAATCTTAATGAGAATGCTCCGGTTAGGAGGCGCCCTGGAGCAGCGCACTCAGTGTCCTGGCTCTTTTAAGGAAGAGTGGATCATGCCAGCAGTGACTGCCGTACCTTTAATATACACAAGTGTCATCCTCACGCACAGTGGGTGATCCTGAAGGACGGGTCACGCAAGCAGGCGACAGCTTCCACCTGGGCCCCAAGCTGTGTGGGCTGCCAGGACACCGAGACGATGAAGGAGTTTATATCAGGGGACTCGAGTGCGGCTGACCTCCAAGTGTGGTCCTCGGGTCACCTAAAACAGACGCTTCTGTTTAAAAACTCAGATCCCTGGCCCACCTGCCATCCACCCTAATCAGCGTCTGCATTTCCCTGGTGTGGCAGGGCTTTTTACGATGAGTGTCAAACATGAACACTGTATTTGAAATTGAACCGGCCTCACAAAGTCATCCGGCTGCCTATTGCTCAGAATCAGAACTTGCCTATTTCTCTTTCTCTAAGTCCTCGGTGCTTGGAGGACTTCAAGTATAAGATTATAGTCCTACAAGCCAAATCTGCAACTGTGAAGCCACACCGCTGGCCGTTCCGCTTGGCCGCTTCACAGCCACAGACTGTCCCTGGAATCCTGCCAGGTGCTCACTGAAAGCCCATCCTGCCACTAAGGGAAACAGCCGCCATCTCCTGCCCTGCACGTCAGAGTGGGGAAGGAGCACCACCTCCTTGCAGTAAAGCAAGGTGACCTTAAAAATAAGAGGCTGAACAACTTAGTGCCTTCACCAGGAATTTCTTTTTGGAGGTGGAGCCAATTCCAGTTATAAAAGAGCTTTCAGAATTCTCCAGGTGCACTGGAATTTTGTAGAATCAGTTTTTGAAATAAGTCACTCACAAATTCCGCCATATTTTCACAATACTGATTTCTACTATAATAATAGGGGTGAGAATGTTTCATTCAGGTGTTTTTCATTTGCATCTTCTTTATTTCCTTCCATCCAAAACTGCCTGTAATTTTGAACTCTGAGCCGGCCCCCACACCCTCTGAAAGCAGTAAAGGGGCCACTCTGTGGGGTCACACCGTTGCTGTCCACGATATCAAACTCAGCAGCTGGGACTAACTCCCGACCACTCTAATGGCTCCCTCCTGCCCAGCAGACCTCGCCCTTCTGGAGCACCTGGCAGGGAAGGGACACAGCCACCCAGGGTATTCAGGGCCGAGAGCGAGCTAAAGCACTGACGGGTCAGGGACTTGGTGACCCAAGGAAAAGCCAAAGGAGAGACAGGGCATCCAGACCTGCGCCTGTGTGACAGCCACGTGTGCCACCTTCTCCTCTCAGCTTCTGGTATCAGAGAGCACACATCAGGACAGAGCCCTGCCCAGACCAGGGACTTTTTAGAAAGGTGGTGTCTAGGAGGAGAGGGGCAGCATGGTGGGGCCCCACCACCTCTTCCAGGCAAAGCCAAACTGCTAACCTTCCTCACCTCCCTCTTGAAATGCAGGAAGCCCCTAGAGGCCAAGGAAATGGGTCTCGGCCCTGTCACTCACCAGCTGGGAGACCTTGGGCAAGGTACCCAGTCCCTTCTATTTTCTGGTCTGTAAAGTGAGGCTAAAGTGCCTGCCTCGTGAGCACCGTGAAGATGAAGTGAAACTCTTCGGATGCCTGACACAGAGTTGGCGCCTGTCCCCTTGGGTTTTCCCTGGATATTCCCTTCCCTCCCAGCAGTGCCCTGGCTCATTCCCAGTCACTAGTACCTTCCCCCTTTCAGGTAGAAAACGGAGAACTCTTAGGCTTGCTGGCTTTATGGTGTGAGTGAGGGACACTCCGACTCAGTGGTATATGCTGCTCTCGACTAAATCCCAAAGAAAACTAAAAGGAATGGGTAGTGGCATCTTACGGTCTGGCCGACCGTCTATGTGACTCAGGCATTATGTACAAGAAACATACAATGCTTCCCATCACATTCTGACGTCCTCGCACTGAAGCAGCCTCTGTGGGACAGACAGCCACGCCTGCGACGTTTAACATATATGTCCTCTTGGGCCAAGCAGTTCAACTTCTGAAAATGTATCCTCCAGATATAGTTCACATTTCCATATTTGCAGAATCTCTGAGGTAATTCTGTAGTAGCAAAAATGTTTAAAACTCTTCTCTAGGAAGATTAAACTGTGATTTACCCATGCAGTGGAGCACTAGGCAGAAGTTTAACCAAATAAAATTGTTCTGTGCTGCTGTATATGTATCTACATAATTTCCAAGCAAGGAACAGAAAAATATAGTGTAATAGACACTTATTTTGGAAAGGAGTGTGTATACAGACACGCATGCGCACACGAACAGGTAAAGATAGGAGTCGTGTCTAGGATGAGCCATTGCAGCCATGCCGAACGGAGCAGGGTGGGGAGTGACTTTTTTTCCGCCCTCCTTTCAACTGCTTTGATGTTTTCACCATGCAATTAAAGCACTCCAGCTTAAGCACAAATGTAATTTTTTTGAAAGAGCTTTTTCTGGGCCCACCCCATAGCCCAGTGGTCAAGGGGAACCAGATCCCACACGGCTGGCTGTGGTTCAAGTCCTGGCTCGGGTGCCTGGAAAATATCTGAGCACTTGCGCACACACACCCATGCATGCCCCAAATCTCAACAGGACAGGGAAACAGAGAAGGGGTTGCAGCGATGACTACACCCTATTGGGGAGTGTTTTCTCTTTCTCCCCGATTCTATTTAAATACATAGAGAGCCTTTTCTAAAACAACAGCACCTTTCTGTTTTCCAGATCACAAGATTAGAGAAAACATGGACTGCCCTGCGGCACCAGCACACCCAAACGGCCATCCTCTATGAGAAGCAGCTGAAGCCCTTCAGCAAAGTCCTGCACGAAGGCAGAGGTGAGCAGGGGCCCCGTAGGGGTCAGGGAGGACGTCAGGGAGGACGTTAGGCGGCAGCTGTTCTTCAAAGTGGTTAACAGGGCATGGCCCCTGTGAGGCCCTGGGAACCCTGGTTACTTGCGGGTCTGCTGGCCGCTCCTCCAGGCCCCTCCAGGCGCTGCTCGGATGACTCTGCCGTTAGCACAGGACACAGGCCAGCAGTCACGTGACCTCACTCTGTGCTTACCTCTGCTATGGAAAACTCTATCCTGTTCTTCAGAGACTACTTGTGGGCCCTCAAGCAACGTATCAGTCCCACTGCTGATGCCCCTCGTGACCTTACTGGAGCGCCAGGCGGTCACTTTCGAAGGAACCGACATGTGGGAAAAAAATGACCAGAGCTGTGAAATTATGCTGAACCATCTGGCCACAGCCCGGCGCATGGCTGAGGCTGCGGACAGCTACCGGCTGAACGCCGAGAGGGTCCTGGCAGGTAAGAGCGGGTCCGTAAGGGGCTCTCTGAAGTGAAGTGGGGGGGGATCTGGACACCCTCAATTAGCAAAGATTAAAGCACGGGAATTCTATTTCCTGTATGACTGATCATTTCCTCTTAATTTCATAATGGCCCAAGTATCCCGTTTCTCCTATCTTATGTGCTGATCAGTAGTTTGGAATAAACAGAACTGACCAGCTTGCCCATCAGTTCCTCTAGTAATGACACTGGGAAAGGCGAGGGACGAAGGGAGGAGAGGGCGAGGACGCCTGCCTTCCTCTTCCTTCCCAGTCACGCTGGAAAGAGCTCCCCTGTTCTTACTTAGCCTCGGAGAGTTCAGGAAAGTGCTGGGCAGTGTCATGTGAACTGGCCTCTCTCACAAGTGCTATGGTAATAGAAAGCAGCCTCCTCGATGAGCTCCATCAGCATTTGGCACAGACATACCCGTGCACAGCACCAGGCTAAATGGACGTCCTCAGGCGCGTGGAGGCATTTAAACGGCTATTTCAGCACCTGGAGGGCCGTGCGGAGTGTCCCATGGGAGCGCCTAGGAAAGTAACTGATTTGGTCAGAGATGCAGGAAAAGAGGACGCACCTGGGAACGGCTTCCCAGCAGAGAAAATGCCACTGCTGGCTGTCAAAGGACAAAAGTAGCCAGAAAAGAGAGATGGAAAGGGATGGAAACTCCCGTCAGTCAGAGGGTGCAACACAAGCAAAGGCACCGAGAGAACTTGGGGAGAGTGGCAGGGTGAGCTTGCGTTTAGATGGTGTCAAGTGTGACCCAGGCAATGGCGGGAGGGAGGAGCATCGGTTGGAAAGGGCCTTCTGTGTAGGACTACGACTGAGGGAGAGCCAGTGAAGAGGTTGAACATGGGGGATTTCCTCTGGTCAGATTTGTTTTTTAAAATGACCCTGGTGTCTGCATGGAGGAAGACCAGAGGACTCAAGGCTTGGAGGCGAGTGCTGGCATGAGGGCTTTCCTAAGGTGGTCATCCGGGACAGCTGTTTTCCCTTCCTCACTGTGTAATTCTTAAGCTTCTTCAAGGGTCCACAGTTTAAGAACTGTGTGGGTTCCGTAAGGGGCTCTCTGAAGTGAAGTGGGGGGGGATCTGGACACCCTCAATTAGCAAAGATTAAAGCACGGGAATTCTATTTCCTGTATGACTGATCATTTCCTCTTAATTTCATAATGGCCCAAGTATCCCGTTTCCTATCTTATGTGTTGATCAGTAGTTTGGAATAAACAGAACTGGTCAGCTTGCCCATCAGTTCCTCTAGTAATGACCCCTCAATTAGCAAAGATTAAAGCACGGGAATTCTATTTCCTGTATGACTGATCATTTCCTCTTAATTTCATAATGGCCCAAGTATCCCGTTTCCTATCTTATGTGTTGATCAGTAGTTTGGAATAAACAGAACTGGTCAGCTTGCCCATCAGTTCCTCTAGTAATGACACTGGGAAAGTCCTATCTTATGTGCTGATCAGTAGTTTGGAATAAACAGAACTGACCAGCTTGCCCATCAGTTCCTCTAGTAATGACACTGGGAAAGGCGAGGGACGAAGGGAGGAGAGGGCGAGGACGCCTGCCTTCCTCTTCCTTCCCAGTCACGCTGGAAAGAGCTCCCCTGTTCTTACTTAGCCTCGGAGAGTTCAGGAAAGTGCTGGGCAGTGTCATGTGAACTGGCCTCTCTCACAAGTGCTATGGTAATAGAAAGCAGCCTCCTCGATGAGCTCCATCAGCATTTGGCACAGACATACCCGTGCACAGCACCAGGCTAAATGGACGTCCTCAGGCGCGTGGAGGCATTTAAACGGCTATTTCAGCACCTGGAGGGCCGTGCGGAGTGTCCCATGGGAGCGCCTAGGAAAGTAACTGATTTGGTCAGAGATGCAGGAAAAGAGGACGCACCTGGGAACGGCTTCCCAGCAGAGAAAATGCCACTGCTGGCTGTCAAAGGACAAAAGTAGCCAGAAAAGAGAGATGGAAAGGGATGGAAACTCCCGTCAGTCAGAGGGTGCAACACAAGCAAAGGCACCGAGAGAACTTGGGGAGAGTGGCAGGGTGAGCTTGCGTTTAGATGGTGTCAAGTGTGACCCAGGCAATGGCGGGAGGGAGGAGCATCGGTTGGAAAGGGCCTTCTGTGTAGGACTACGACTGAGGGAGAGCCAGTGAAGAGGTTGAACATGGGGGATTTCCTCTGGTCAGATTTGTTTTTTAAAATGACCCTGGTGTCTGCATGGAGGAAGACCAGAGGACTCAAGGCTTGGAGGCGAGTGCTGGCATGAGGGCTTTCCTAAGGTGGTCATCCGGGACAGCTGTTTTCCCTTCCTCACTGTGTAATTCTTAAGCTTCTTCAAGGGTCCACAGTTTAAGAACTGTGTGAGACAGGAGAGGCCTGTTCCTTTCATCCTAAAATGCTGTTCCAGAACCAGAGTGGGGCTGAACAGTTCACACCGTGTTTGCTGTAGGTGTAGACACCACACACCTGCTACATTTAGTTCCTCAAACGTTCTCCAGGGATGGCAGCACGGGGCTCATACAAAAGCACTCAATGCAACAAATATTAGAATGTCTTCTTATACCTTGCCAAACACATGTGAGGTCTTCAAAAAGTTCTTGGATAAATGGAATTAAAGTACAAGTTTATGTTGGTGCAAAAATTTTTTGAAATCCTTGTGTAGTTTTTTTCAGAATACATATTTTCCATTAACTTTTTCTTTCTTTTTTTTTTTGGAGAGATTTTTGCTATAGGGTGCGTGTGCTCTCCAGAAAGAGACAGCAAGTGGGAACCAGCAGATAGGCTAACTGA